GGTTCTTGATTAGCAGATCCGAATTTCTAGAGTCTTTCTCAAGCACTYTARAACTTCCAAGAATCAARAAYAGTTCRACYAAACAGAATTAAGATTGCCTAAATTCTTTCTCAAGCAATTCAGACATTACATAAATCAATATCAATTTGGCTAGCAGTTCTAACAATGAAATTTCTCATCAAGAAACATCAAGATTGCATCTAATCCATTCGAATGAACCTATAAAGCTAATTACAGATCTGAAATTACAGAAATCATGCTTCAATTACAGCAAGAAAGAAAAATTAATGGAGAAATTACACAATCCCTAGCTAAATTCGATCACCAAATGTGCAGAAATCAAGGAAGGACACCTAGATTGATCTCCTCCAATGGCTTCTTCTCCCAAATTCGAATTCAGCTTCTCTTCCTCTCTTGAAGCTTCTTGTCTTCTCCTTTCTTCTCTCTTGTTCGCCTCTCTCTCTCTTCTCCCTCCAAGAATTCGAACCAATTCAGTTTTCACCCAAAGAGTTGCACACCAAGGGTTTGAACCAGCCAAGAAGTGTTTAAATCTCAAGGAGTTGAACCCCTTTTCCCTCCAAGATTTCTCCTTATATTTTCCCCTCAGCCCTCTCTTGAATCTTCTAGAAGTTGCCGCCCTTAACCTCTCTTGAATCCTCTAGAAACTATCGCCCTTAGCCTCCTTGGGCTGCACTTTGGGCTGCTCTTGAGCTTAGCCTTTCTTGAATCCTCTAGAAGCTGCCACCCTTAGCCTCCTTGGGCTGCTCTTGAGCTGCAAATGGGCCTCCTCCTTGCTAGGCCGAATAAGCTCCCTTGGAAGGTTGCGGCTAGGCTCTCTCTTTAGGTTCTCCCAAAAAGTGCAGCATGGGCTTCATGGGCCGAATTTCCTTTGATCTCTCAGCTGGGCTTTTGATCCAGCTGGGCTGAATCACATCCAATTTACCTCCTTTTTCTTAGTTTTGTGCTTTCTTTTCTCTAAGCTAGTTTCCCTTGCTAATTTCTTGAAATTAAGCTGAATTGAGGTAAAACTTTACACAAATCAGCACCAAAACCATGCATAAAACATTAGAATTTATATGTAAATTGTGCACACATCAAACACCCTCACACTTAAGCTTTTGCTTGTCCTCAAGCAAAGACATTAGCCATAAACTGATCATCCCCCCTTATTCTCACCATTTACTGGATGAATTTTTAGGAGGAGAATGCATTGAGTATTCGGGAAACTTGTGTAAGTATTTTGATCCATTCCTATGAACTACCATTCTTATCACATACATAAGAGATTCATCAAGCTCCAACATTCACTTCCATTCAATATGTAAATCAACTCCTTGACCACCAAAATTAACCATCACTTTGCTAGGTCTCAAATCTGTCACTGCACCTCATTGAATGTTCAACTAACTTTTGTCCCTTTGAATCTCAGTCGTCACCGAATTTTTTTTTTGTTCTTTCCCCTATTTTTTTTTTTTGTGTGAGTGCATTTTATGCTCCATCTCACACGGGGTATTTTCTTCTTTCTTCTTTCTTCTTTTTCTTTTTCTCTTTTTTTTTTCTTTTGGTGTGAGAGCATTTTATGCTCCATCTCACACTGGTCACAGGCTTGAGGCAGATAACAATACTCGTATTCCAAGTTGCTAGTTTTACTATTCAGCTCGGAATAGCGGAGTTGGAACTAAACTCATCATAAACCGCTAGTTTTACTATTCAGTTCATGACAGCGGAGTCAATTGGACTTTGTCCTTTTTCTTTTTCTTTTTTTCTTTTGCCTTTTTCAATTGTTGAACCTCATGCATTAGCAATTCAGATATGGACTAGCTTGAGTGATCATTAATAAATCAATCAAGTGCATCATACACATGAAAGTAGTTAGGGCTGGTCATGATGAAAGTCATATTTAACTCCCTTAACTTCATGCATTGTGCTCAGTTGGATCATTCACAAGAATAAAAACTGACACATACATTGGTCTCCCTCAACTCATTGTATTCCCTCTTTGAATTCACCTAATAAACAGCAATGATCTCGAGAGGATTTTCAGTCTATTTGGCCTATCAATGCATGTATACAAGTGTTGGGCTAATTGAAGTGCATAGCCACAGTCTAACTTCCCCACATTTAAGATGAATACAATGTTCCTAGTGTTAGACAGCAACAATAAATCCAACAATGAGGGGTAATTGCATGAAGAACATTATCAAGTAAGGAGAGGGGTTTAGAGGACTTCCCGGAAGATTATTCTGAATTCTGCAATAGCTCTTTTGATAGGAAGCCTCTAGCTRCTAAGAATCACATAAAACTAGAAAGAGAGATCAGCAACTTATTCAATTAACATCCTGAGACAACAACAAAACTAAACTCAACTCAAACGATATGAATGAGACAAACAAAAACACAGAGAAAGCAGCAATCTACCCAATTAATAGCCTAAGCAACAAAACTGAACTCAAATGCTATGAATAAGAAAAGCAGAAAACAATTAAGAGAGTTTATGACTGCTCATCAGTATTGGTTTACCTCCCAACAAGCGCTTGTTTTTTGTCTGAAGCTCGACGTTCTAGTGAGGTACTGACCGTTGGCCTGAAAACATCCACTAACCTCATCATCAATGATATCTTCTGAACTAAAGTTGTCGTGTGTTCCCGAGACACCCGCAACAATTTGTCTTTCCGCAATTGGGTTAAGGCTGCTGATATGATTACCGGTAAGGCTGATGGTGCCTCTAAGAAAGCATATTCCAGATGTGGAGGGGGTTGCTTCAGCTCAAGGGGGGGTGGCTCTTGGGTTGAAGGCTTGCTTGTTGGTATTGGCAGGGTATCCAAGCCATCCAACTTGAGACACTYTTTCCCTTGAAACTGTGGATTGGCATTCAGGTATGCTGCCATGCCTTGCATCTTTTCACTCTCTTCCCTTGCAGCTCCTCCCTCTTGTATGCAAAGCTCACGGGTGTCGGCCAACATGCTAACCTTGTTTTCAGCCCTTGCCTTCTTCTCCACCTCTGGCAGCTCCTCACCACCTCTTGGATTCAATTCAGTATTACCTAGTAGAGTGCCCGATATTCTTGCTGAAATCATTTGTGCCAACTGCCCGACTTGCTTCTCCAAGTTCTTTATTGCTGCTTCTTGGATCTGAAATCTTGTTTCAGCACTAGCTATGAACTTGGTCATCAGCTCCTCTAGGTTAGATTTCTTTTCCGGCTAATAGAAGTTTTGAGGGAAGGGATTCGCCACATGTTGACTTGGCCATGACTGATTCAGGTATCCCCCCCATCCGGGGTTAAAGGCACAAGGGTACTSACTGTATTGCTGCCTTGGAAAGTGACCAACAAAGTCTACCTGTTCTGGAGGCTGCATAGACTGATTGCCAACTTGGCATTCAGTACTGATAGGGCCTCCCCCACACCAATCACAAGTCATGGACTGCACATGCATGGCTGCCATCTGCATCTCATCTATTTTCTTGCTGATAGCACCTATTTGCGCAAATAGAGTTGTATATGTGTCCACATTGTGAAGACATTACTGCCTTTTAACTTGTGCTCTTTCGGAATGCCATTGATGGTTGGTTGCTGCCATCTCCTCTATCAAAGTACTAAAGAAACAGATGTACACTAATCAAAGAAAGCAATATATCAAACAATCAGCAATCCTAAGAAATAGGGACTGTTAAACACTAATATAGCAGCAATCTACAAAACAAAGGGAACAACAATCTACCTAAAAAGAAAAGCCTCAAGAAAAAGAACAATCAGCATGCTGAAAGCTAATATAGACAGATCTGAAATCTGATATACAAGATTGAAATCAGAGAAGTACCCTATCAGATCAAGAAGAATGCACACTACCAAAACAAGAACAGCAGCCTAAGATAGAGACAATCGGCAAGAAGAAAGAAGATTTCTGATTTCAGCAATGAAGGTCAATGTACACTAATCTGAACTATAAGATTTTTATAAAATATACAGAACAATCAGCTACACTACCAAGACTAGAACAGCAACCAAAGACTAAGCAAATTAGCAATAGGAAAGAAAACTACTATCAGCAGTGTAGGTTAATGTATACAGATTTGAACCTAAGAACAAAAAAATTTGAATGCTACCTAAAAAGAAAAGCCTCATAGAGAATTCTATCAAATCAGAAATCTATCAAAACAAATCTGAAATCTATAACAGCAACCTATAGAATTCTACCTACAAAACACATATCTGAAGTCTATCAAATAAGAACAGTAATCTATAGAATCAAGAAACTACATTCTACCGAAACAAGAACAGCAACCTAAACTAGAGGCATTTGGCAAGAAGGAAGAAATCACCTACATGTAGGTTAATGTATACAGGTCTGAATCATAATATACAGAATTAAGAATCAGATTAACAGTAGCTAATAGTTCCTAATATAGCTGAAATAAGTCCCCAGCAACGGCGCCAAAAACTTGATGCGTATCTGCTACACTAGCAAGTGCACTAGTCGCACAAGTAATAGAGTGATGAATAGAGTATTGTTTCCCACGAGGACTTATGCAGCAACTACTAGTAATAAATCAGCCTTCTATTATCTGATAAACTGAATTGTATATCTAACCTAAAACTGAATTCCTAACTAGCAAACAATCTCTAACATATTGGATCAAACACTTTGCATGCAAGTTGAGAAGACAAGCTAAATATGCACAGAATTGATTCAGCAATTAGTTCTCTAGGCCATTCGACTAGATTAGGATTCAGCCTTGGTTTGGTGAAACCCCAAGGCAATGAACAGCCTCTCTCAAGCGAATGTTCAATCTATTAACTCAAGTGTGTTAAGTTTTGGGTACTCAAAAAGCACACTACCTTGAGATACACCTCCCTCGAAAGCCAAACTTGAGATCACAACACTAACTTGAGATTGCTCTAGAGCATGGTTTTAAAAGGCGGTTGAGGAGAGGCAAGAGGCACATGCCTCAAGGAGCCAAATTTCGCCTGGGCTCGGAAACCTCAATCTGAGATCAAGGGGGGAGTAAACCTCAGTTTTAGTGAGGCATAGACCTTTCGCCTTTCACCTCAATTTATTAAAATAAAATTGAAATCAAAAGAATTACCTGGTTACCGGATTCTATCATTACCAACAATACAGGTTGTCGTTCCGGAAGAAAGCCCAGCATTGCAAAATTAAATATGCATATAAAAATCAAAAAGGTATGGACCCATTACTGGCCCTYTGCTGTTATACACACATTTTTTGAGGTTGTCTGGGGAGTTTGGGATATCAATAGAGGATGTGCCCTCTCTATTTTCATTGCACATGAGGAGCACCATCACCCAAGCATAGTTGGTCAATGCAGAGTGTCTTAAGTTTTGGTACTCAAAAAGCAAAAAAAAACAAGCAATTCACCCAGGGAGGGAGAGAAAGAGAGATTGCACGATTGAACCAAAACTCTAAAGGAATATAGAATAAAAAGCACAAAATCCAAGTTAGAATTGGGGCCTCTACTCTATGAGGTAAACCTATCCCCGATTCTTCAAATAACACCAACCCCTGATTGAGGATTGGGGCCTCCACTCATACTCTTTTTGTGTTTTTTTACTTCATTTTCTTTACACCTCTAGGCCTAGATCTAGCCATAACACAATAAGATTAAGTGAAAAAATCAAAGAACCAATTCTACCTTCTCAAGTTAGAATTACTCTCATGTAAAGCACATCTCAGAGGAGACCATAGGATTAGAGATGGAAGACCAGTTTCCCCATGATGCATTGGGCTTGCCCCTTATAGTAGGAGAAATTTAACACGTCAATTTCAAAGAGCTCATGCTCAAGGAGATTCATTAAGCACAATAGTGGACAACGAAATTGGGACTGCATTATTAACAAAACAAGTAGAAAAGCAGCGCCTACTGTTTTCAATAAGAAAGGAAAAAGATTGACTAAAATCCTCTTTACTGGATTGGGTTCGACTTGAACCAAGGGCCTATGAGGCCAAATGGCTTAACAAAGATGACTCAACAAGATGAAACTGGTTTAACAAGGTATGGACAAGACTAGGTGTAGACAAGATTAGCTGTGCATGAGCCATGACCTAAAAGGCTTGTAAATGATGGATCAAACAGGTTTTGAACTAGAGCAATCTTAAGTTAAATTGGGGGATAAGGTGACTATAGGATGACTCAACAAGGTCAAAATATGACAGGTTTGGGTTGAACAAGTGAAGGGGGTTGGAACTGTGACTAGATCAGGTCAAGATGCAACTAGGTCTGGGTGACCAATAGATGACTCTACAAATACGGTCTAGGTTGAAGCTTAGACTAGACAAGGAATACTCAACCATGCTATGGGTACACTAGAGACTAGACGACATGTAATGACTCTTTGAATACTAATAAAGATAACAAATGAACCTTCAAATATTGAATAGGAATTGCATTTTTCCTAGGTTCAAAAGACTATTCTTTTGACACTAGACTAGGTGAGGTTAGACCGAAAGTTAGGGATAAGATGGGACTCGAATTGAGTTGAGGTTAAAGTAACAATGTTTGGGTGAAGGGGATGACTATATGATGGTTGAACTAAGTTGGGATTGGGCCACAAGCAAGGGAGGATAGTAGGGTGGTTGAACTGAATATATGTTAGACCAAAGGTAGGGGATTGTTGAACAGGAGTAGAGCTAACCAAAGCCTAAGAGTTAGAGGACAGCTAAACCGAACTTTAGTCCTTAGGGACTCAACACTACAAATGTGCAAAGATGCCAAGAGACTAAAAATTTGAAATTCAATTTGCAATCCAATTCTATTACTTGTATTTGGATTTCAGGACCTACATTTTTTTAATAAATAGATCAATTAATATTTATTATGCATATATATACAAATATTATATATAGTTATTATATCAAAAACACAAAAAATTGTTCATTCATTAAGTTTTTAAATTAAAAGGGGTACAACAAATTGTGGAAAAGTAGCAAACCCAATTACAAAACAAACCAACCCAACACTAAATTACAATTTTGCCCAATACATATGTTGTCTTTGAACCCCTTACTTGACCCAAAATTATGCCCTTACTTTAGCTATTAACCCAAAAAATAGTCCATAAAAATTATGCCCTTACTGAATCACCTTGTTCAATTGGCCCTGAATACAGAGCACATCGAATACCACCCTCACCCCTAATCACCCTCCAATTCCTAAGGGACCTAAATAGCCCACACTACAACCATTAAAATTCAACTTCATCCAACCACCCACTGGGCGACAAAACCTCAAAGATTTTTTTTGTTTCTTGAGGATGAGTCAACACTAAATTACAATTCAAGTTCTCCACCTTTAAGTGTAAAAAGAGTTTCACGTCTTTATGTGTAGTTATATAAATCTTATAACTAATAATTAAATATTTTATATTCCATAAATTTATCACATGTTTATGAATTAAAAAGTATTGAACTTTTGAAACACTTTTTAAAATTTTCTTTATTTTTTGAAGATAAATAAAATTAAATTAAAACAGAAAAAGAATACAAGAAAAGGTGATAAAAATCACCGGAATGAAAAGGATAAAACACCCAAAGACTTCGTACTAAAGCTTAAGATGCCAAACCATCCCATCAAAACCAGACCCACAAAATCAAACCCCATAAAATGCAGAAAGAAACTACATGTAACAACAAACGATCACAAACCAAATACCCTCCTGATCCCATAACAAGCTCCAAAAATGTCGACTCAACAAATCTACTTGTTAATTTTTTGATTGCCATCTTCTTGTTGTCTTCTGACTGCACTTCTGGATTTCCTTACTTTCTTGTTAGGTCCAAGGTCAAACATTCCTCCTTTTATCCTTGCAAAAACCTTTGAAACCGGTATTTGTTGTTGGCTTCTTTAGCTCTTCTGTGTTTTGAATTCTCTAACTGTATTTAAGGTTCCAACAACTTCTTTCGTCTTCCCCTTAAAATTCTGATCCCTAACCATAATACCCTCCCTCTCCACCTCCTCTTCTTTCTCCTCGATGTTATTCTCACCGCCTCCCTCAGACTTTTCCACCCCTTGATTTACTAAATTACTTGAATTTCAATCAACCACTGTGTCTTCCAAATCTGATCTATTAAGATTTTCTTTATTTTAAACATAATAAAGTGGATCTGAATTAAATCCAAATCAGATCTAAGTCCTATATTTCAGATTTTAAACCAGATTCAAATTCAAAGTTTCACTAATAGGATTGGATTTTGATGTGGTTTGATCCGATCTAAATCCGACGCAATTACAAACCTATATATCACTAATTGTATCGGTCTAGATATCATGTTTTAGTAATGGTTGATTCTTAACAAAGATAAAGAACCATTGACAATTGTACTGACTATTGAGAGCCAATCTCTCATGGATATGGCCTTAATTTTCCTCTTGCCCTTCGTAATTGTACAGGTGGTCAATTTGCTACTTGTTTGCCAACGTATTTCTACACATAAGTTAACTATTTCATGCAACAAACCAATCATCTTTTCATGATTGTCACAGCATTATCTTCTCAACCTAGAATTATGTTAAGCTTATAGTAATGCATATAACAATAAATTAATTAAGAACTTTCGATACCTAAAGTATTATTATAATACAACAAATTGGATGTGT